CCTTGAATAGTCTTTTATGAACCGTCGGTAATAACCGCAGAAACCTAAGAAAGTTCTTAGCTCTTTCTTCGGCCGAGGCCAAGTCCTGAGGGCGGCAATCTTCTCAGGGTTTGTCTCAATGCCTCTTTCAGACACTATATGCCCAAGATACTTCACTGAAGTCGGAAAGAACTTACATTTTCCAGGTGACAATTTCAAACCATACTCTTTTAGTCTGTTAAGCACCTGCAATAGTCTTTCTTCATGTTCTTCAAGCGTTTGTGAAAAAATAATCAAGTCATCAAGGAAAACTAGGACCTGCTTCAAGTTCAGCTCTCCCATGCAACGTTCCATAAGTCTCTGGAACGTGCTGGGGGCGTTTGTGATGCCCTGCGGCATCCGGTTGAATTCAAAGAATCCTAGTGGACAGATGAAGGCGGTCTTGTGCTTGTCAGCCTCCTCCATCTCAATCTGATAATAACCAGATTTGAGATCAAGTACTGAGAACCACTTGCATCCATTTAATGCTGAAAAACCCTCTTCCAAGTTAGGTAAGGCGTATGAGTCCTTTACTGTTTGAAGGTTGAGCTTCCGGTAATCTACACAAAGCCTAATGTCGCCATTCTTTTTCTTCACAACTACTATGGGTGAAGAAAAAGGTGATTCGGACTCACGAATAATCTCAGCATCAAACAGTTCTTGAAGATGCTTGCGTACGGCTCTGTGTTTGAATGAGGTTTCATTACAGAGCTTAATGCGGTGCTTAGTCTTAGCAGTACGTCCAAAATCCAGATCGTGTTGCGCGAAGACCTCTGGTATACCATTCAGTTTCTCAATAATCCTTCTTTTCCACTCAGTGGGTACTGGGGAATCTCCAAAGTCAAAATCAAGTTGCGGGGTTTGGTCAGGTTTACACAGAACATCTGAAGCTTGAGAATTAAGGGTCTGGACACTATGAATAGCATTTACCTGTGATCACACTCTTGGGAGGGACAATAATGTCATGTTCTGATTCATTTTTAAGAATCACCGGTATGCAGTATGGAGATTTAGTCGGCAGACTTGCAATGCATTTGTTGACAAATATGCCACCAGGCAGGAAACGGGACTTTGGTGACTCAATGACTACCCACTCCCCTGCATTTAATACCCTGCAGCTTACCGATCCTTTTAGAACTTTTGTTCAACCAGCGTTAATTACCTCAGGCTCTCTGCTGTTCAATGTTACAAGCCCAAGATTGGAACTGGCCATTTGCTTCTGTCTGCTGTTGAGAATTCTAAGAATAATTCTATAACCATAAGGTAAGGTCTGAGAACTTCCAGACGCATTGTTCAAATACTATTCATACAGAACATCCAAAGTGTTTGTTCCTATTAGAACTAAAGGTTGGGTTGATTGCATGTCAGGCACAATTAAAGCTAAAGTGGGGATTTCAATCTCTAACCCACAGAAATTCTTGGGAAATTTAATGTTGACCTCAACATAACCTAAGTAAGGGACATCTTGCCCATTCGCACCCTCTACTTCAAGCAAGTTACTCAAAGACTTTACAGGTAAGTGTGCCAAGTTCTCTTTATAAAATGAGTTTGGAATCGTTGTTACTTGAGAACCTGTATCCAACAGGCAATTACAAACTAGCCCTGCTATAGTCACTCGGGCAGTGCATTTGGCTCCGATGAGTCCTTGTGGTAAAGTGAGAACCGGTCTCGTATGCGAGCAGGCCATCAATGGCCTACGTTTCCTTCTGGGACGCTTCGTCAATGTTCCAGTCCCCATTTTTCTCTCAACAGTTACTGAATCTAGTTTAAATTAGTAGGTCTTGAAGATGCAACTCTTTTTTCCCACGCTAACTGTTTTTGACAGATTCCTTTTAGTGGCCGCTAGGGATGGATTGGGTTCACTTTCACATTGCGGCTTGATGTGGCCATCTTCTCCACAGCGAAAACAATACCATGGTTTTGGCTTATTCTTTTCTCTATCAACTTTAACAGCTGTCTCAGGATGAGTTGTTTTCGAAATGGGAATCTCAGCTAGGGGCTTACTGGTAGCTGGTTTAGGGACTGCTTCCTTTAAATTCTTTTTGCTGTCCCTTTGTGACATTCTCAGAAGCTGGGACTGCAAGGCAGCGATTTGCCTCTTTAGATCCCGTAGTTCGGACGCTGACTCTTTCTGTGTTGGTGAACTGCTTCCACCACACTGGGTATGTATGCCTTGGAAGTGCGATGCCGCTCTCTGCTTTGCAATACCAAGGTACTGTCTCATGCGACAAGCCTTGGAATCTTGTTTGTCTTCCTCTGTTCGAAGTAGTAGAAGGAGTTCTGCAAAGGTAGGTGGGTTCCGTTTCCGTTGCTCAAGATCTAGTCTAGCTATCAGGGCGTTATCCCAACAACCTCTGCAAAATTGTTTCAAAAGCTGAGAATCCAAATCACCTGCTGTTACACCGCCTCTCTTGGCGGCTGCACTAAACTTCACCTGCAACCGTTGAAGGTAAGCTGAAGGTTTTTCACCAAGATTTTGCATTATGTTAAGAAACATGGCAAAAAGGTCATCACCATCCTCTACTACGGCAAAAGCTGAATCAAGTACGGTCAGATAGGCTGACAAAGGAGAACTAAGTGGCAAATGTTTCACTATATCAATGGCAGGGGGTTGAAGACTCTCGAGCAGCCTCCGGGATTTGTGAAGGTTTGACTGGTGTGGATCGTCCAAGAGCACTTCCACACTAGAACGCCATGTGTCATAATCCACCTCATTGTTAGGACAGGGATTACGTCCAGAGAAGGGTCGAAGTCTTAGTAATGCGGGAAGTGTCATGGTGCTATCACTCCTTACTATGTGTTCAACCACCACCTTCTGTAATCCCGGTGGGTTAAGATCATTAAAACCAAGACGAGGCTGAGTCTCCGGAAAACGTCCACACTCAGGTGGCTCAACATGTTCTGGGGAAATGTGGTGCTGCGGAGTCAACTTCGCTGCAGTCTCAAGCACATGTGGCTCGCATTCCTCACGCGCGTCGTCACCTTCACTTTGAGTTTCTGCGTCAGTTGCGTCAACAATTTCACCAATGTGACTAAGCTCCTCTTGCAGCACAGCTGAGAAATCTCTACCACTTTGTTTCGCAATTTCTTTCAATTCAGCTAGGTAGGACTGTGTAGCAGTTTGACTCACCACTGGTGTGTATATGCTGGATAAAGATCTAATATGGTAAACTATATCCGCTTGTGTCTTACTAGTTAGCATCAATGGCAATGAGGGTAACAGCGTCTGCAGGGCTGCGGCAAATTCATACTCTACAATAGCTTGCTTACTTGACTCTAAGTTGGGAAAAGTAACTGGTATTATTCTATGGATACAGCCATACTGTTTCAACGAATCAGCAATTTCCTCATCAATCTCTGTATCTGTTAATCCAGTAATTAGAAGGGAATTTGGTATCTTAATATTAAACTTTTGAACTACCTCCATTTCAGTCTATAAGTCCTCGGTGGCCAATCCTTTACCTATCCGTACCACTCCTGGCTGGCTCGCCAAGTTTTGTATGTAACACTTGTGTGCTTGAATTTCACAGCACATATACTACAGGGCCAGATCTACTGTAGGCTCGCAGGGAGTGGTCAACGTAAAGAATTAGGCCAAAAACTCATAGACACACAAAGACAACACTTTAATAGAAAACAAAACTCGAAAACCAATATCACAGAGAATGAAAATACATGTACGACTCAGGATTCCTTTGTGTATGAAGGCAATTAGTCAACACACTTTAGTTATTCCCGTATAAAGGTAGATGAGATTATAACTATTTAGTTCCAATTAGTTAACCACCTTAAATCTAAATAAGTTTAGCTAATACTAGTTTCTACATCAGTAACGAATCCTATTTAAACCCTAATCTAAGTACTAATTGGTTTAACTTCAACCTCTTTGCTTTAGGCAATTGCTTTAAATATCAATCCCAAATTGAACACCTTCTCGTTTTAGTAAAACACATACAAAAACTTCTCAGTTAACATAATTCACACTTTGTACACCATAACATGACAATTAGGGAGATACAGGAATCAATAACTCCATATAACGATCCATGTCCAATTAAAAGAAGAAAATATATTTCAGTTCCGTCCTTGGTATGTAATAAACGGAGGTCCTACCGCACTGGTGGTGAGGTGGTACCAATAAAGTCCGACCATGGAGCAATTCTGTTCCTCACTAGGAAGAAAAGGGGCTGACGCAAATCCAGGTGCGTAGACTGTGGGGTTGGCTCGCCATCTTGTTTCTGCACGCCGTGTGTAATGAATGCCGATCCAAAACGGTGGACACCCTAATACATCCCATCAAAAAAAAACCTGACCTGTGCAACAGGTCGTACAAAGCAAATAACTCCATCAATCATACCTCAAATAATCACACTTTATAAAATAATTTAATACTTAAGACAAAATGTGCAGCCATATATTCTGTGCTGCAACTTAAAATGGCGTGGATAAAGCTCCTTCGCTACCTTTACGCAGTCCGTACATCCAACTCAATTATATAAACTTAACTAAATTAATTCGAAAAATGCGATTTCATCCTGGTCCCTAATAATTATGTCATGAATTATAAACCGATTATATTTATACTACTTTTTACATGCTTAATTTTCTCCTTTTTCCACACTCGATCTGTGGGTTCAACAAACTAAAATAAGAAACATAACTTACCACAATCAGGTAAGTTAACTATTTCTAGCAACCCTTTGGTTTGCAAAGTCAATTTCCGTGAATTTTACTTCGCTTTTCCAGAGTTCAGCCCTAACTGTGCTGAACTGACCGCTCCGTCTTTCCACTTCAGCAGCTCTCCCCGCTCTGCGCGCTTCNTTTTTTAACAAACTTGTGTCGTTTGTGATTTGCTTGCCTCACGAAACAAGCACGTCGCCATGAATCTGCCAGCATATTATAAAGCTTTTACTGGGATTTCATTAGTTAGTGTGCCTTGTTTGTTTATGCCAGGAAAAAGAATCTCGCCCCAAATCTGCTACAGTAATATGAAGCTTTTGATGGTGTTTAATCTACGTAGTGCTTGTCTCTCAAAAGAGGTATATCGCTTCGAAACTAGTTTTTTTTTTAATGTAGTCATTTAATAATGGTTTCCTCTAAGTTTATGTATCGTGTCTTGCAGTTTTCACGGACAGCAACATGGATTTGTTTGTCGATCCGGAGAGGACAAAGCCTTTGTCGGCCCCCGTTTCAGGTGGCGTGGGACCCGACCACATTTTATCTGGATGAAGCATTGACCGTGCGAGTTAGCATTGTCCCTGCAAGTAAGCTATGGTTTATATGTATGTTCACTGTACTGTTGTTTATCACTATAACAGGTTGTATTAATGTTTGTTGTTCTCTTCCAGAGACAGAGGCAGCTAAAGAAAATATAGTGGGGGATTGTTTGGAGCCACAGCCCTCCACCTCCTCATCCTACTCCCCGAACATGTTCTTCACAAAGGAACAGACACTATTCCTGATTGATCTTATGCGGGACTATACAGATTTAAACGGTGAAGGTCCACCCAAGACCTTCCAGGAACTGAATCACCGCATGAGGGACGGCAAGAACAGGAAGAGGCAGATGTGGACAGAAATGGCCTCAAAACTGTCCATGCATTTTAAACAGCACTTCAGCCATGAGAAGGTATCCCGAAAGTGGCATACATTAGAAGAGGCGTATAAACGGGTAAAGGACAATAATAGGATGACTGGCCAAGGAAGAGTTAAGTTTCAGTTTTACGCCGAGATGGACGACTTGCTGGGCAAACGTCACGATGTGGACTTCCCAGTTGTCGGGACAGCTGGGGGAGTGGAGGTACGTAATGCAGAAGTCCTGGGCAGCCAGACAGAGGCATTATGTACTCCACCCCCCAGCACACCAACAGGAAGGCTGCCACCGACCCAGCCACCAACCCAGCCACCAACCAAGCGAAGAAGGCAGGAAAATGGCTTTGCCGCTGTTCTGGACTTCTTGAAAGACTCAGAGACAGCAAGCCAGAGGCGTCACGAGGACACGATGCAGCTGCTTAGGTCCTCACAAGAGGAATTTGTTTCATTGATGAAACTGCTCATTGACCGGCAGCGGGTTGATCACCCATGATCTACAGTCATGGACTCCTTATGTACAAAGTTGTTGTTTGCGCACTTTTTTATTGAACACACTTATTTTGCACATTGTGGAAGCACATTTGCAAATGTATAGCACTGTGAAATTCAAAACTGTTGCACTACTTTTGTAAAACAATAAATGTTCTATGTAAAATCCATGCTCTCATTGTGAACACTTAAACATAGGACAAATTTATTCAATTATCAACATCAAATGCACATTCATGATAAGAGAAGTATAATCAAGCTTGATTGACATTTAGGCATCAACATCTGCCTCCTCCGGACAGCCTCCTGGGTGCTCCTCACATACCTCAGTTACACCAGCACACATGTTGTGCAGAAAACATGCAGCCATTATTATCATCACTACAAAGTCCATGCGAGTGTTCTGCAGGTGTCTCACACGCCTCCACTTGCACTTCATTCTTCCAAATGCATGCTCTATAATCACTCTTCCACGGCTGACCCTGGTGTTTCGCTCCTGGTCCTCTACAGTAAGGGCTCCATTATCCCGTTTTGGTGTCACAATAAAGGGACATGCTTGTCCTATATATGCGCTGTCTCCCAACAATTTGTAGTCCCCCATTTTTTCTTGCCAGTCCAAGTAAAAATGAGAGGCCCTCAGCATTCTCACATCATGCACCCTTCCAGGTGGACCTACAAAAATGTCTGTGAAACGCCCTCTCACATCGCATATCCCCTGGAGCAGAACAGAGTAATATGACTTCCTGTTCATATAGTCACCTCCTCTGATCTTTGGCCTCTGCACTCTTATGTGACATCCATCAATAGCTCCAATAATCCCATTGATGCCGCACAGCCTGTGGAAAGCAGCTGATGAGGCTTTCTTCTCGCATGAAGTTGGCCAGGAGATAAAGAGGTGCCCAAGAGTAGCAAATAGCTGAAGTACTTCAGTCACAGCTTTGTGTGCAGTTGACTGTGAAATGTTAAACTTATCAGAAATCTCTCTGAAACTGTTTTGGTTTGCCATGTACCACAAGAACATCAAGACCTTCTGTCTGACAGGAACAGGTGGAAGCCCTCTGGTCGGTTCCTCTGTTAGCCCCTGTTCCTGTAGCTTCAGCAGAAGATAGTCACACTAAATTTTGGTCACTCTAAGATGGCGGAAAAACGTGTAGTCGTCCATGCTCATCATTCGTTCCCATTCTATGCCCGTCTTCACAACCACCACCCGATGAGTTAAATGGGGGGTAGCACAGGCTACTGCAATCCTGGAAAAAAAACGATAAATTTAGTTGTCGTTATTCTCAGTCGACTATTTCACGCGCGAGTTTAAAGAACTGGATTTTCAGTTATACACGAGGTATTTTCGCCGTTTTCCGTAAACAGTAAAACCGTGGCGATCAACCGTCACCATAGAATTTTGCACAATTTGTCTTCAAAAATAAGTATCAACAGTAATTCCAAGCTGGGACCTTTTTTTACTATTACACAAATTTAAAAAGCGTTACAGATGAGTCGTAGTTCGTCTGTTTCTCGCTGGTTATATCACAATAGCTGTAAATTGTGGCCGGAATCATACAAAATTTGCTTATTCCTCTCTTTTTTGTGGGGGTACACAAAGTAACACATACCTTTTTCTCCGTTCTTCCTCTTCGGTTTGTTCTTTGATGTTAAGTACTCTTTGCGAGAGTTTTTTGTGCTCAGACAACAGCAAAAACACCGTGTTCATGGAGGCTGCCATGTTTGTTCCGAGATGTGGTAGCTCTAACGGGAGATGGTCGGACCTGACGTCACTCAACTCGGAATTTCCGAGTTCCGAGAGAAAAACGAACGCACCAGTAGTAGTGATGGGATTTATGGCTCTTTGAGGGGATCCGGATCTTGGCGATCCGTTCCTTTCAAAGAGCCGTT